TTTGCTATCTCAACTTGGCATCCATATAATTTTGGCAAAACAAGAAAAAATAGCCTCCAACAGTTTGGCAAAACAACTTGGCATCAATAGCAACTTGGCAAATCTTCCCTCCGCGCGCGCAAATATGCGCGCGCGTATACGGCTTGGCATCCGGGGCTCTTCGTTTCTTAGCGGGGCTCTTCGTTCGCTTAGCGGGGCTCTTCGTTTTGTTAACGGGTTTTTTTATTTTACCAAGTCAAAAATGCCAAACTCTTGGAGATGGATTGTTTTTATATTTGGCATATGATTTTGGGAGTTGACAAATCACAAGATTTGCCAAGTAAAATTTGACAAACTCTTGAGATGCTCTTGACCGTGGTGACCACGAACGGCGTCCACGATCTCAGCCCGTGCGCGCCTAGCTCCGGCTCTCTGTAACTTGTATATGTAACACCCAGAGAGCAATACAAGATATTGTTGGCTCCCATTCTTCTACATGGTATCAACTTGCGCGGGTTGATCCTCCTGCTCCCTCGCAAATGCACTTGAGGTTTAATCTGAATTTTTTGGCATAACTAGCCCATTATTGTGCGCTCTTATTGGATTCTCTGAGTTAGCAATATCAGAAGAGATTGTGATATTGCTGTTGAGATTGTGATGGGGTCCTGTAAGTTAGTGGAAATAGAATTGGTAAATATCGTAAACTAGAGATAGATTTTCTCTTGATTTTTCCAAAGACAGGGTTGTATTGGTACACTCCATTATCAGTACTATGATAACTGTGTGGGTTTTCTAATTACAGGAATCCCGTTTGGTGCAGGATCAAGACCTTGATCCTTCATATAGATGAAAATTGTGTTATGTTACTTCTATCTGTGGGATCTGTATTCTGTAAATGATGGGTTTTGTTTTGTCTGTTTGTGAATTAAAGTCGTAGTAGCAGCATTGAGAAGGGGGCAATATATAGATGAATGCCAACACTGTTATTTTAAACATGAAATACTAAGGTTTAACGAAAACTAAATTATTAAAATTAAGCTTATTGTATTGCATAAGTATTGGCTAACTAATGTATTGTACAGTATGGCCTCTATGAGGCTCTGCCCCTGTGGGTGGCTGCATTATTCTAGCACTACTGATCTGGATCTTGGATGGATTCACGCTTTTTCGTGAAAAAGCGTGTTTAGTAAGCTTTTCACTCATTCATTAAACCGGATATGACCACAAAACTTGGAGTCATGAAGTTTGATCAACTGTACCTTTTTCCTACAGAATAGAGATGCATTTTGTTTCATTTGGTGACTGTAAGCTAACTTTTTAATAGTCTCCTCTTTTCTCCTGGCTTGTGCAGTGTCAGTGAACCATTAAGTAAGTAGGTGAATACCTATGAAGCCTGAACCAGAGCCTCCCTGGGATGGTTGACACTGGTCGTGAACTTGTGATGCTGTCTGTGGTCAGCATTTCCACGGCAGTTAAAGTCAACATTTGGTCTCTCCTGAGATTCTGACATGTGGTCTTTTCAAGAACGCTCCATCATGCTGAACCCAAGCACTTCGATTGATGAAAAGCTGATAAATCAAGCTTGTGGCATAGGAAAGCATGGCAAGGCCTCTCAGGTATACATATCCTGTATGATGGTGCCTATTTCCAGTTTGTTGAAGTATTATTCTAACCAGGTATTTCCTATTTCTGTGCAGCACAATATATTGGGTGGCATCCTGATCCAGGAGCTTTTCCTCTCTGTTCCCAGCATTGCAGAGGCGTTCACCGACTGAATAACCTTTTAGTCTTTGGTTCGGGCGATATTGGTGCTGGACTGCTGGCATCCTTCAGTTTCCATGTAGCACTTGCCAGGCCCATCGCAAGCGGCCCAGCGTCGTGTGTCTCCGGCGCACCCCCCACCGCCCACCGTCCCCAAACTGAGGCCAGCGTGCACTGGCCGTGACTCGTGAACTTGTGATGTGTCTGTGGCCAGCGTTTCCACGGCACTTAAGGTCAACATTTGGTCTCTCCTGAGATTCTGACATGTGTTCTTTTAAAGAACACTCCATCGTGCTGAACATGCTGAACCCAAGCACTTTGATTGATGAGATGCTGAAAAAATCATGCTTGTGGCACATGAAAGCATGGCAAGGCCCCCCAGGTACTATACATGTCTAATATCTTGTATTATTGTGCCTATTTTCAGTTTGTTGAAGCACTGTATTATTCTAACCAGGCATTTCCTAATTCGGTGCAGCACAACATATTGGGTGGCATCCAGGAGCATTACCTCCCAGCATTGCAGAGGCGCTCACCGACCGAATAACCTTCTAACCTTGTCAGTGAAGCAGTGAGCTAGTGATAGCTGATAGTGGCGGGGCAGCAGGAGGGCTTGCCTTGGGCCCGCCCGGACAATACGATATTGGTGCCGGACTGCTGGCATCCTTCAGTTTCTACAACGATTTGCTTGCCTGCCAGGCCCAAGGCAAGCGACCCAGCGTGGTGTGTCTCCAGCGCACTCCCCACCGCCTCACCGTCCCCAAACTGAAAGCCAGCGACCAGCGTGCGAAGCGGCTCGGCCGCAGATGCAAGGCGTGGTCGTCGTCGTCGTCGCTTCCGAGGCTTCCCCAAAGCACGATGCGTCCATGGCCAAGGCGGCCATATGCGCGTGTGTGTGTGCGGAGCAAGAGCAAACTGGATGGGTCATGGGAGTTGTTACCGTTCCTCGCGTGTTACTATTTAGGATTTTTATTCACCCTGCGGCTGTCTGCTCGAAGCTGTGAACGGCTTGGCCTGCTCCGAGTACGAGTGAGATCCTGCGGCAGCGAAGCCGAAGCTGAGGAGCACTGGTACGTGTCTGCAGTACAGCCGCCCAAGGCGTTCGGTTGGCTGGTTAATTTTCTGTTTGGCGATCGATGAATGCTGCTGCCCCGCCTGCTGTGGCGGTTGTGCAAGAATGCAAGAGGGTCGGAGCACGGCGGACGGGCGGGCGTGCGCTACACCCACGCTGCGGGCGTGGGCCTTGGCGCTGGCGCGCGCGCGGCGACGCACGCGTCGGCCTCGGCGTCGCGTCTCGGCCGTCGAGACACCACGAGCGCGGCGCAGACCTGCACGCACGCACACGCACAGCACACGCACACGCCAGGCCTCCTTTCGCTGCACTGCACCGCTTGGCATGGCAGTCCGAGTGCACGACCAGCGCAGCGTTGGGCTGCCACCCGGTCAATGGCGCTGGCCCCACACGGCTGACGGCACGGTAACCGTATCCCTTGTTGTCTCGGTCAAAATGGCTGTACCACCACCACTCGTGCGCACTGCAAGGAGGTCAGGCGTACCTGTGTCCTCCCGATGCTTCTCCAGTGCTCGCTTGGACGCTTACCGGGTGGGAATTACTAGCGGTAAAATGACAAGGGCACACGCACACCAAACTTACAGCAAACGATTGACCTCGATAAAACCTCCTCTAGAACACGAGACCCTCTAATATACAAGAACATAAAGGGGGGAAACACAGGATTGGAATGCCAATAACACTTTAAATCCCTAAACTAAAATATTTATAAACTAACAAAAGTTTAGAAAGAAACATTTGAAAAGAACATAGGAAAAACATACGAAGCAAACACAATAAAAAGTGCTTTGTACTTTTGTACTGCGCACCCGTGTACCGTAACAAATTGTTCGATAAACAGTGGTGGCAGCACTGGCTGCCTTGGGTTGGGGTTGGGTTTCCTTTCCTTTTCCATTTTTTTTTACTTTTACCTCGGCGTGGAAAAGAGGGCAAGTAGTGGGAGGAGAGACCCCACGCCGTCGCCATGGGCCTGCGCGCGCGCTGCCTGCCGCACACGCAGTCACGCACACGCGCACCCCGCCCGCACGCGTCCCACCGTCGCCGCCCACGGCGGCGCGCCTCTCGAGACGCCACGGGCGCAGCGCAGACCTCCCTGCACCTGCACCCGCACCCGCACCCGCACCCGCACGTACGACGACGACTGGCGGGTCATAAAATCCTCTGCGCGCTGAGGTCAATGACGCCAGGCCCCACCCTCGCGGTAAACCGCCTCCGCCCACTCCCTAGTGCGCTCGCTCATCTCACGCCAGTCTCAAGGCCAGCCAGTGTGGCCAGTTTTCACGCCGTGTTTAGTTGAGGAAACTTTGGATTTTGGGCTACTGTAGCACTTTCGTTTTTATTTAGCAAATAGTGTCCAAACATTGACTAATTAGGCTTAAAACGTTCGTCTCGTAATTTCCCACCAAACTGTGCAGTTAGTTTTTCTTTTCGTCTACATTTAATGCTCCATGCACAGGCCGCAAACATTCGATGTGACAGATACTGTAGCAACTTTTTGGATTTTGGGATCCAACTAAACAAGGGCTCAGGCCTTGTTTAGTTTGCTTCAAAATTCCAAGTTTTTTCACTCTCTCTCCATCACATCAATTTTTAGCTGCTTGCATGGAGTATTAAATGTAGGTAAAAAAAATAACTAATTACACAGTTTAGTTGGAAATCACGAGATGAATCTTTTGAGCCTAGTTGGTCCATGATTGGACAATATTTGCCAAATAAGACGAAAGTGGTACTATTCATCCGGTTGCAAAAAGTTGCAAACTAAACAAGGCCTCAGTGTCCATTGCTCTTGCTTCTTCGCCCAGCACAGTAAAAACTAGCAGTAGCAGTATAAATGATGACCCAGTCAACACAAAAGCTGTTCACAACAGAGCTGACGTGCAATGACGCACAACTACTGCTGTCCGTGCCTCTAAGCGTTTTGGATCCACCGGAATTTTAAAAATCCGGATAGAAAAAAATCTCAAAGCCTTAGAATCTCGTCTAAACAGCGGAGATCATTTTCATCTTGAATCCCGATTTTGGAATCTCATCCAAACATGTCCGAAAGAAATGGCGCAAGAAAAAAAAAACGCTGGTTGCAGAGTAATTATAGCACTTTCTTCTTCTACCGACATATTCGCTGGTTTGTTTCGACCAACAGTATTTTTCTCTCGTAACAAACCTGCACCAGCCGGCTTATCAATTGAAGTCACAAGACTGACATGACCTGATCAACACGATACAGTACTGCAAAGCAGCTCAGATCACACCAGCGACGCTTCAGTTCGACAGAGGACAAGGAAACCCAAAACTGCCCGGGATTCCTTCCCTTCCCCCGGCCGCGGACAACTGAAACTTTTGTTTTTCGCAGGAAAAAAAAAACCCCGACGGAAACGAAAAAAGGAGGCGTTTTTTGTTTCTCTCACTGTTCCGAGGAGCCAGAAAACCGCTAAAACACCTGAGCCGGCCCTCGGACGGATCGACAAACGCGATGGAAAATCTTCTGAGTTCTGACGAAGGGGAAAAAAGGGGAAATTTTTTTTGGAGCCGGAGAGGCGGAGAGTCTCTGTTCGGTTCTTGGGTTGATCAGCTGGCCAGCAGCAGCAGGGACGCCAGCCCGGCGGCGGCTGCGGGTTCAGCTTGCTAGCCGCCCCGGGCTCCTCCGGACGCCACGGCGACGGCGACGGCGACACCACGACTGTGATCTTCTTGTCTTCTCCGCCGTCGGGAATGTCGTCGTCGGCCGCCTTCGGCTTCTCGTCGAACACCAGCTCGAACTCGCCGGAGAAGGTGGCGGCGGATATCGGCGTGGCGAGCGCCGGCGCCGGCGTCTTGTCCGGGCTGCTGCTGCGGGCGTGCGGGGACAGCCACTTGGCCCGCATGTACTCGTGCTTGCGCCACGGCGGGAAGTGGAGCCCGCGCTTGCGGAGACTCTGCCGCGCGGCCTCCGCCACGACGGCCACGATCCGGCCCAGCCGGTCGGGAGTGCCCACGAACAGAGGCGGCAGCGCCTGCAGCGCCGCGCGGTACGCCTTGGTGGGCCGCGCCACCTCGAACTCCGACCGGAAGTCCACCTCCACCACGAGCCGGAAAGTCGCCCCGGCGCCGGACCCGGACTCCACCACCACCGCGTCGATGTACTCGTGCTCGCCGGCCGGGTGGGAGGGGGTCTTGTCCCACCGCGACGTGCACACCGCCGCGTCGTACCCGAGCGCGCGGAGCCCGTCCGCCACGGCGCGGCGGATGTCCGCCCGGAGCCGGAGCCCTTGCCGCAGCGCTCCGCGATCCGCGACGCGTCCGCCAGGAGGTTCAACTTGTAAGAGGTGAAGCAACTGACATGTAAGGATTGTTCAAAATGTTATCAATGACATTATGTGTTATGGTATTGTGTATCATCTCTATTATGATGAAGCTGGAATGACAATCAAACTAACTGAGCACAATCAAACTAACAAGGTACATTTCAACTTAACTGAACGTTGCAATTCTAGAACCATGCTTTAGCAGTCTGTAACACTAAAACATGAGTAATCTTACACTGGAGACTATCAATCAATCCATTTGCAGTTTGGACCTGTTGTTCATGAAAGCTAGCTTTCAGAGTTAATGTTCATGAAGCATAACAATTAGAGTTTACAACAGGTAGTACAAAAGATAGCAATTGGAGTTTTTGTATCCAAATTGTAGCGGTTAGGACTTTCTACTCTACAAAAGCTAGCAGCTTGGACTTTCTGCTATATAAAAGTAGTTAGGACTTTGTGCTATACAAAAGCTAGCAGTTTTTCTGCTATACAAAAGCTAGCAGTTAACAGTTTCTGCTATACAAAAGCATGCCTACAATAGATCACTTTCTTACGCCTTCTTCTTCTTTGGTGCTGCTGGATCCTTCTTCTTTGATGCTACTGGAGCATTCTTCTTTGGTGTTGTTGGATCCTTCTTCCTCTTCCTGGTGGTTGTCAAGGTGGTAGGAGGCACAGGTATTCCTGTAGGCCTATTCTTGAAAAGTTGACTAGGGTCATCTTTTGGTCAGCCCTGAAGAATTCCACGTACCTGTTAGCTAGCCATCTGGAGGTGAGGCTCTTTGACTTTCCACTTCTTATGGCAAGTGTGTGTGCCATTGTATGTCTTCAGGACCATTCCATGGGCACTGCTATCAACTGATCCATAAAGCTTCCAGGGACAACCCTCTTCATGGTGTGCCTTCAACCTCTTCTGCTCATTCTTGGAGTAGTTTTTTTTAACTCTTTCCTTTATGCTATATTCAGTGACTGCCTTCCTAAGTACCTCAACTGATTCAAAGAGCATACCCACTTTGGATATTAGATTGCTCAAGTATTGCTCCGTGAAAGACCTGAACCTAAGTTTCCTTCCCATTCTCCATCAAATTCTAGTAGCTGTAATCCTTCCTCATCTATAGACACATCATTATCATAGTCTAGTAGCTTTCCTTTCTCTGCTCTCTTGCCTTGTGCTATGATCTTCCCCTTAGCAACCCCCTCATCTGTCACTTGGTCATCTATAGACTGAACAAATAAGTCATCATCATCCTCTTCCAATTCATAGTCCGAATCATCATCACTCCCACTGTTGCCACCATCATTGCCCCTGCTTGTTTCCTCCTCCTCTTGTTCTCTCATCTACAGTGGACCTTTCCTTGTTATTGTCAACATAATCAAGCTTCTAGGGGCTGATATAGCCTTAGGCAAAGATGCAATTGGGTTTTCCACTATGTCATCCTCCCACGTCAAACCTTCTAGATTATCATCATGATCCACATACACTACAAAGTTCTTGACTTTGTGCACAAGCAGTGAAGCCATAACAAGTGTTTCAGTATATGATTCTATCACCCTAAGGCCATCTGCTAGGGTCAGACCAGGCAGCAACCCGTACATTTTCGTTGATGGACTCTTTGGATAGTCCAACTGGTCAACAAAATCTTCTAACCATAATGGAGACCATGTATCTACTTTGGAGTGATCAAACCAACTGATTTTCTCATCAACATAAGCCTTGCAACCTTGACCAACAAAAAACCCGCCATGATGGAACTCTACAATGAACTCTTCATCATCATCACCTATAGCATGGACCCACAACCAGATCAATAAACCTAGCTAAACAGGCAACAAAAAGGGGGGAAATCCAAATCCAAAACCCTAACCATCAAAAGGTTGTAATCTTAGCACCCATGTTTAAGCACAACCAAAGAACTACGGTGTCGAATATACGAGCCTGGGGTACCTTCACTGCTCGTATACCTGATCCATGCCTATCTACCGAGCCAAAGACGACGAGGAATGAAGCCCATGAAGGCTAGGTGAATCCACCAGGTTGGAGATCAAGTCATCCCGAGGATATTCGGTGCCGTCATATCTAGGCAATAGGTAGGATCATTATGTGGCGCATTCCATGTAACAAACTAGGAAACCATCTGTTAGCCGATCGGATCTACTGTAACTCTACCCCCCGAACTATATAAGGATGGGTAGGGGCCTCCCGATTGAGATCCCATCTTCTACATTCTAGTGCATAGCTAAGAGCAGCAACCCCTGTAACCGGACATACGAATATAGAGAGAAGCTACTTCAAACTAGACGTAGGGCATCACGTGCCTGAACCAGTATAATCCCTATGTCTTGTGTGCTACCCATCTGATTCATCTAACACGAGTGGTTGCTAGGTATTGCCGAAGCTAATTCTTTCGACATACGGCTCCAACCACTAATTGTTGCGAGTAGGTCATGGATGCACTCACCGTATTAGGGCGGGGATTCCCCTCTCTTGTGCTTGGTGGCCACCATCCCGTGGATTCTCCGTGGTCTGCACCAGCACCCACTAGGATGGGTGGGCCACCACCCTACTTCACCAGCGAATCAACGTCGCTCACAGGAGATCACCGCCGCTGCCTGCCATAGCCACCATACCACCTTCGCCTTCCTCCATGCCGACAAGCATGATGGAGAAGTGTGGGGAGAGTAAATGAAATGAGGGAGAGAAGCCAGAGACCTGAGTGTGCAAAGCTACCAGCCCTCATGTGCTGCTCACGTGCGCTGCAGCTGCCTCCAAAGCTAGGTCATCGCCACTATGGACAGCCACATTATATTAAAAACATAAACGAAGGGGTATGGACTATAGATGCATCACTTAAAAAGTTTATGGACCGGAAATACCACTTTCACAGTTGATGTACCTAAGTGAAACATGGCCAAAAGTTAATGGATCAATGATGCATTTAACTCATCCAACAACTTCTTTAATTAGATCATCAAATATTGTCATCCTCTACTTCGAATTTTTCGCTAGCAAAAAATAGAGAGCGGGATTGACTCTCTAGACTGTGCACAAAATACAACCAAGTTGTTAGACGACAGGAAGATACAGAGGATGATTTTTTATTGAAGTTGTTCTATAAATAATGATTTAGAGAGTGAGTTCGAGAAAGACTCTTGAAGATGCTCTATGGAGCTTTTGGAGATGCTCCAAGTCATTTTGCAAAGCAATTTTTCTAACATAGCTAAAGCATTTACGCCAAATGTTATAGAAATTGGCTTTTATTTAGTTATTTTGGCTCAAATAGATAGGAAAGGTGGGAAACTTGGACACTTGGCTCTTTTTAACTGCTTCATTCAAGATGCTTGTAGGCTAAAGTCATTTTCGCTTTGGGCATTTGGGAGGACTTTAGCCTAAAACTCATGAAAAAGCTAGAGCCAGAGCCCTCCTAGAGGGCCCTTGAACATGCCCTAAAAATATTACATCTGACATATACAACTAGCAGTCAATATTGAACATTTTTTTCTTCGTCTAGAACATTTTTTTTCCTCTTTGTGAAACATTATATCGTTTTCTGCTATAACGTACAGTTGAGAACAAATATTTTATCACGGTAGGTGAACATTGCTTTAGTTTAAAAAATATTCCATTGAGTGAAGGGCGGGTCTGGTGCAAGCGGTAGAGTCTTACCGCCTGTGACTGGAAGGTCCCGGATTCGAGTCGCGGTCTCCTCGTATTGCACAGGCGAGGGTAAGTCCTGCCACTAACACTCTTCTCCAGACCCCGCACAGATCGGAAGCTCTCTGCACTGGGTACGCCCTTTAGTGAAAAATATTGCTCATGGCTTAAACTATCATTTTACTCCCTTAAGCAACAGCAAAAAAAACACTTGGTTGTGATCCGAAAATTTAGTTGTCAGAAGAAATCAAGGTCGGTTGAACCAGGCCTTAAGGAATAATGGGGATGCCATGAATTTTAGAAAAAAAAATATAGCAGCATCTATCGGTTTAAATAAATGCATTATCAAGACACATTTTATAAAACTAATTTAATAGTGTATCTGATGCTGCGTTTTCTATAAACTTTATCAAAGTAAAAAAAAACTTAGGACAAAGCTAAAACGAACCATAATCTAGAACAAAGGGAGTATTAGGTAGAAAATCAGACTTCAAACAATACTTAAAGGATGTAAAATACTAGATTTTACCCTCGAGAACCAATTTCACTTTGCTAAATTCAGCCAACATACATATATCATGATCCCAGAAAAAGAGAGTTTACAAACACGTTAGCTTGATACTCGTGGCAAAACCTATCACTAAGTGGAACCTTTTGCTGCTAAGTGTATATAGCTAGCTATTTTCGTCCTTCGATCCTTGTCTATCGTCTGCATAACAAGTCTGGTCGTCTGATCGTCTAACAGTGGGGGGCATATCAAGTCTGATCGTCTGCATGATTGATGGCGACAACAAATAAGTGGCGATGTTGAAATGATTACTGATGTTTACATGTGTATCATTAATAAAGTAAATATTAGTATTAGTAGTGACCAATTTGTGCATATCTCACGCCCTGTTCGCTTGGCTTATAAGCCGTACTTTTTCAGCCAACGAACAGTATTTTTCTCTCACAGCAAATTAACCAACGGTACTTTCAGCCATGGCTTATCAGCCAAACGACCAGGGCATCAATTCTCATGGCAACTATTACTCCAGCAAAGCTCTGGCTTGGCTGTCAAGCCTCTTGCAGCCTGAGGTTTCCTAATAATCATAATAATAGATGGGAAATAGAAATTTTATAGAAAAGCTCTGGCTTGCCAGTGCAGCATTGCTCCTGTTGGATGTCACTTGTCCCATATACAGATCCTGATTCCACATCGGACCTTGCTTTGCATTGCATCAGTTTCAAGCATAATGGCATTTACATTTTCCTGATACGCCCAACGTAGTATTTAGAATATCATATTACAGAACAGAACGAACCAACCAAACACCTTCTAAGAAGCAAGCTACAACTGAACAGAAGGAAACGACACTATACAAAGCTACCAACAGGCAACCTGGGGTTCTTAAGAAGCAAGATACAACTGAACAGAAGGAAACGACACTGGACAAAGCTACTAACAGGCAACCTGGGGAAGAAACAGTCTAAACCATCACCCGAAGCTAGACAAAATAAAACCAAGGTCTGATGCAAACGCCAATTATCACCACCGGACCACTGAGTTGGGAAGTCGCCCAACACCACCCACTGTTCCAGTCAAAGAAGTCCAAAAGGGCTATCAGAAAAAAGGTCAGGTCCAAACTCTAAGGATTTGGCATGCTTCTGTGGCTACTGCATACCTTGTTTGAGCTTATGATTCCCCGGGCACAATCGTCTTCTGCCGCAACTCTTTCCTACATTCCTCCATTATTTCTGCACGTAGTTTCCTCTCCCTTTGTTCCCATTGCCTATCAAAATAAGCTTCCATCACAGCCTTGATCTGAAGGTCTCTTTGGGCATTCCTCCGCGTACGACTTCTGTATGTGGATATGTCATCTGGGAAAGCATGCTTCCATGTAACTAGTCCTACCCCTCTTACACGACCTGGATGCTCTTTTGTTCCTAGTGCGAGTCAGGACGTCATCCTCCCGGTCAGGCTTGAAAACACCATTGGCCACTTCCTCTTGGATTATCTTGATCTTTTCAGCAAGGTTCCGGACTGCATCACTAGGGAAACTTAGGGAGCCATCAGTGTTGAAGGTCATTCCCCTCGCAAAAAGATACCTCAATGAGCGCTCATTCCACCCATCAGTATGCAGAGTAACACCTTTTTCTGCTAGCTGTTGTAACTGCTTCTCCCACTCTGGAATTTTCCTCGCGTAACCACGAGAACCAGTGTGGTGGGGGATATCATTTTTATGGGAGTTAACAATATTTACTTCACTCATGGCGAGTGCGTCCTCAGATAGCTTCCAATCGACAAACTGTTGCCAGTATGGTCTCTGAAAAGGGTAATGTTCCCAAATTGGCTCTGTTCCAGTCTGCACACGTTCGCTGTTCAACTTGTACTTGAAATATCTGAACGAGATGCCCATACAGTGCAATGCTCGTTTCTTGGCAAGCTCCTCATAAGCTTGTGGGAACTCAAAGCTCTCCTTCAACGTCTTCCAACATTTCTCCTTGAGTGCAAGCGGAACACACCATTCCTTCTCATTTGGCTTTGTCTTTTTATGCCAGAACATGTATTTAATTGGCACAGTTTCCCTCACAATCACACCCAGGGCGGTGTGGTACGGCCCATCCACATTTTTTGGTTCAACGGGCTCTCCCGTGGGATCGAACTCGGTGATGACATATCGGCCGGCGGGCATCTTGCTGGGGCCTCGTTTGGTCCTTTGGGTAGCTGATGTATTTATGTCACTCTCCTCTGTGAGTTGAGCCTACACATTGGTCCCAAATCAGTAAATTAAAAAAAATGGAACTGTAATTGAAACACTAATGAAAGAACAAAAACAATTGCAACTCTAGTAGAAATAGTATTGCAGCACTAACAAAAACACAACTGCAACTCTAGTAGGACCACAATTGCAACTACAGTAGAGAAAATGCTCCAACTGAATAAAAACATCATTTACAGAATTAATCATGTAAAACTATAAAAAAACAAAATTGCAACACTAATAGAAACACTACTGGAAATCAAGTAACGCTAGCCATTGCACAATTTATCATGCACATAAACACCTAAAACTGAAAAATGACCACACCAGCAACTCTGCCATAAATAACAATTAAAGCATATGAAATTATGAAACATACCAAAAAACCAATCTAAAGTATATGCAGTGAATTACAAACAACAATAATTTCATATTTACCTCAACTTGCACTTTGGAAGTATGTAACTTCTTTGGAGGACATTCTGCTTCTATGTGTTTAGAACTTGATTTTCTAGAACCAGCATCAGCTTCTGCATCATCAACACCCCTGGGGCGCTTATTTTTGTTACGCGAGCATTGAAGAAGAGGTGATGATTGAGTCACATTAAGCTCATTTATAGCATCAGTTGCAGACTTTGATCGCTGTTCTTCGGTAGTCATCACTGAACAATGATAAGGAACCTTAAACAAAAAAAATCAGAAAAATAAAATAAAAATGGAAACAGCTATGGCCATATAGGGAATTCCAGTCTTTGGGCTGCATTTATTCTTCAATAGCTTCTTTGTAGTATTCTGATGCACATATTAGTTATTTAGTAATTGATAGTTATTGCTTTGAACCATAAATTGCAGAAATGCTGAGTAACACAGCCTGACATCAACTTCATCAATCATGAGTCATCTCATCATCTACCTTACGTGCCTTGATCTGTGAAGCGACAGGAGGCAGTGCAGCACTTCCACCCACAGAAAATTCCGCTGCTAAAGAAAGGGTAGATTCATCGACAGCTACTGCCTCATCAACATGTGCATTCCTGCATAGGATGACTAATTGTCAACATGTAAGTTTGGCAGTAGGGAAAAATGAAGGAAATCATTTTTTGTCCACCTTTCTTGTGTAGTAACTTCCTTGTCGATTAGGATATGGTGGTGCTCACGTTTCGAATCCTCAGACTGAACAGCAAGCTTGGAAATGGGAACACAGAGCTATTCAAGAAAGAGAAAGAAAAGGTGAGGTGAAACTTAGTAGTGTGACCCAAGACTAGCGGGAGTGTTTTTTCTCATTCACTTGCCTCAACCCTATAGCCCTCCATTCCTTGTAGCTCCTTTACACACTGCTCTCCCTTGCTCAGGAACATTGGTGTGTGTTCCCGCTGTGCATCTCCTTGTTGGTTTCCACTGTCGGCAGCTAGCACTGGCCATGAAGGTCCAGCTCCTGCTGCCACTGCAGTACATAGGATTGAAGCTATAGGTTTTGCCAATGGCACAGAGGGTTCCCTCTCAAGCAAGTCACCCATCAAATATGCATCTGTTTTCTCGGCTGAATGATCAACCACATGACCTTACGGAGAAGGTGATGGCAGTGGAACTGTGGAACAAATGCTGGATGCATGGGTGAGATTATGTGTTGAAGGTTATGATCAGCTCTGTAAATGATTCAAAGCAACACATTAAATTTTGCTTTGATGAAAAAAGTAGTAGAATGATCTTGTGAAGGAAAATAGTTGACAAAAGAACCCGCAAGTATTGGCAATTGCTACAAATGATGATATAAACTAGTGTTGACACCACTACATAATTCATAAAGCAGTCAAAATGAGCATGTAACAATAAAGCCTGACAAGAAGAAGATTAGGCACAGAAAGGACATATCAGTACCAAAATAATGATTAAGTCAAGACACTTTAGTTACTACCACAACCTGAAAAAAAAATGCTCATTCACTAGCACAGTCAACAGACAAGTATGGTAGATATATATTTCTTATGCAGGCAAGATAGTCAATCATGCTTTCCATGTAAAGAAACACATTCCAATATTTTTCCAAATATTTTCACCAGGCACAGTGGCACTTCTTATATATGAAAACTTGAAAACTTTTACACAAAACATGAAAGGAGAGGCCACAGTAATACATCAACAACTGTTGCCCAACCAACTGGTTAATCAGGACTGCAGAGTAACAGCAAAACAATGAGGGAAACAGACAATACCCGAGCTTCTTCAGACAATACCCTCTTATCCTCATCAGCACACAATGCGTCTCACGTTGCAACGATGCTCCCGAGGACAAGTAGGGTTTCTTGCCAACCGTGACCAATGAGGCAATGACCAATCAGACACTGCAGCGGGTTGTGCCAAGAGGAGGCAGCTCAATCGGAGGGGAGACGTGCGAGCAGGGAGGGGAGTAGCCGAGTAGGGGACAGCGGTGCGGGGTCACCAGGGGAGGGTATCGGCGCCGGCGCCTCGGCAGTGTGGTGCCATAAGCGAAGAGGAGCGTCAGCTGGCCAGGAGAGCCGCAGCGGGGGCAGACCGGAAGAACAAGGCGTAGGAGGGATGCGCGGCGATGCAGCTGGGAGAGTTGTGCCGGCCGCCGGGACAGGGCGCGTGGCCCAGTGCGCTCTGAGGCTTCTGAGCTCGAGCGGCGGCGCGGTGCCAAGTTCGATTTTCTTTCCCCCCTCACTCAAGGGCACATGCTGCGTGACTTGTAAGCTACTGGCTCCATTCCAAATTAAAATAAGTGTACTTAGGTTTCGTTGGAGAGTCAAAGGTACTAAAAAATTACTAATATACATCTGCTAAAGTCATCCCAATAACTAATAATTGCACCAATTACTAATATACATCTGCTAAAGTCATCCCAATAACTAATAATTGCACCTGGGACTAGAGATAGCTAAGGCCACGTTTAGTTCATCCAAATTTCAGAATTTGGCACTATGCAAAAAGAAGATTCCCCGTCACATCAAACTTACGGTACATGTATGGAGTACTAAATGTTAACGAAATAAAAAACTAATTGCACAGTTTAGTTGTACTTTGCGAGACGAACGTTTTGAGCCTAATTAGTCAACGATTGGACAATTATTACCAAATAAAAACAAAACGCTACAGTGCCGCAACAGTGCCGCGAATTTGGGCGACGCCAAATCTAGGGCCGAACTAAACGCGGCCTAAAAAATAGTAAAGTTAGGTAGTCCATAAAATTTCCCAACATATAATAATTGCACCTTGGAACTAGAGGTAGGGAATAAAAGACTAGTAAAGTATGTAGCGGGCAGTCTCAGTACATGGTTTCTGGTAGTTTCCAAGAGTAATAAATTCTTATATACACCTAACTCTTCCAATGCTTAGGTCCTACTTGGATTCTTTAGTTTTTGCTAGGTTTTAAGAATCTGACTTTGGGAAATTGGATGCAATCTAAACAGGCCAATTTTTGCTGCTATTTTTTTGTCTGATTCTTAAAAACCAAGAAGCTTTGGATACCGAGCTTTTGCCAGTTTCTTGTGACCTAATAAGCAATAAATGAAGTTAAATTCTTAAAAACTGGAGGATCCTAACATCCTATCAGTTTTTACTCATAATATAGATTTTAGAAACTAGAGACAAAAAATTGTTTTTAAAAATCCAAAACTGATCCAAACATAGCTTTAGTTTCTTATAGCAGTTTCTATGAAGAATAACATTTAATAAGATGATGCATGTATTAAAAACTGAGAACAATTAGCTGTGCCAAACATCCACGTAGGAATCCATGTTGCCACGTCTCAATCACGTTGATAACAACTCTGAACACGTTCAAAACTGAGAGTTTAAGATAACAATGTCGAAGAGCCGATTTGAGGACGTCACGTCACTGGGGATATAAAAAAACATGGGTCCCACAAGCTTAATATAAAAAACGAAAAACAAGAAACAATCTGTCATCAGCAAGCACCGGCTCCCTGCCATGCGAGGCAAATGGCTTTCAGTAGCGAGCAGGCGCTGCCCGCCATGGCGCCATGTAACATGCAAGGGAAGTAGCCCCCGCGTGTGGCGAGTAGCTGCGCTCCATGCCGCTTGCCGCGTGTGCGAGCGGCCTCCAGCGAACAGCGCGCGAGGGAGGGGATCTGGCAGCGGCGCAAGGGATCCGAGCGAAAGAGGAAAGAAACGACCTGGGTCTCTCCGATGCTATCGGCAAATTGCTTAGTCGGTAGTATATTTAATATAAATACATTATTGCGACTGCCTTAAGTTATTCTAACATATAATAATTGCACCTTCAAACTAGGTAAAAAGGGCTACAGTAGTAAAGTTAGGTTTTAGTCCATAAGTTGTTCCAACATGTAATAATTGTGCCTTGGGACTAGAGATAGCTAAAAAAAAAAGGAAGATGCTAATTTACAAGTGCCTGAAAAGTAATCAATCTCTCAGGCAACGCTTTAGAGTCGTTGGATTTGTGGTCTACAAGTTCGGCGAAAGCAGCAAGCAAACAGCAGAGCTACGTCGCCCGAACAGAACTAAAAAAAATTCAGTCGCCTGATAGATAGGAATAGTGTAAAAAAACTAGTAAAGTTAGGTAGACCATAGCTAGATGTGCATTTATTTTGGTATAAATTTTGAATACTTGAGGTATACTTATTATGAGACGGAGGAAGTAGTATTTCGAGGTTAACGTTGGTTTGCCGTAAAAAACTGACGGGGTGCCTCGGACCAACTTTACGGCTCCTCTTTAGGCCTCCATTTTATTTTTGGAGCTAAAAAGAAAAAACCCTCGTCCCAACAAATTTAAACTCCTTCCATTTTACTCACTAATATAAGGTATCCAGGTAATTTAGGATCAAATAAGGAGTTAGCAAAGGACTAACTTGCTCTCTTACTAATTAGTTAGTTTCATTGTTAACTTGCTTAATTTCCTCGTAAGCTACTCTCTCCGTCCAGTAATATAGCGCATTCTAACATTCAAATTTGTCCTTAAATATAAGAGATTTTGGGAGATAGAAACCAGTTTTGTATTAAATATTTTTCATTTATCAACAAATCACCATTAATCATGTTGATGACAACGTTTGATTAGTAAACAAAGTGAGGGCACATATGTCTTTTTGTTCTCTCTTAATATGTCATAATTTTTTTTAGAATGCACTATGTTACACGACAGATAAAGTACAAAGGTATAGTTTTAAAAAGCATGTATGCATGTCATTGATTTTAGCTACCAATTACATTGAGTTATTTTGGGCAAGACTGTTTTAAAGACGTGTGGATATATGCATGGATAGGGTTTAAAAGGCAGCCACCCATGGATAAGGTTGAACATTAAACCTTTGATACCTTTTTTTCAGGAAGACGGAGAGGTAAAATATAAGGTATCAGATATTCAAAATTTATCGTCGAAAAAAAGATATTCAAAATATATCATAAATTGTAAAGTATTCTAGATTGTTGAATCCTATACAAGCGTTCCTTTTAAACAACATCTTACCCAAGATGACTCCTACAATTGGTAGCTCAAATCAGTGACATGTATGCATACCCTTTTAAACTATGCGTTACTGAAAAAATAAGCAAGTTAACAACCAAACTAAATAATTAGTGATAGGGCAAGTTAATCTTTTTCACGCTCCTTATTTGGTCCTAATTTTTTTGGATATATCCTTTATTTCAGAGTGGGGGAGTACAAATCATCTCCTAGGTTTGTGATGGAATTGGCAATGGCTAGAGAAGTTCTAACAATTTGGATCTGTCAGGTTTAGCTTGACTACAAGCTGAACAAGATTTAACCCAATCTTTGTTGTGTTGTTTTACGAGAGGCCACTTAAAACTAGTTGCTTAATCTTCTTGAGAGAAGTATAGTTATGAGTCCAAATTTTTCTTTTGAGAGCTGAGACGAAAATTTAGGTGGGGCGGACTAAGAACATAATTTTTTAATGACGTCGTACGAATGCACATGAATATCTAATATATGGTAAATTTAAAGATTGATTAAAATGGTACTTTTCATTAGATGATTGCAGTCAATAGACAAAAATACCAACTAAACAAGAGTCTAAAATCCAACTATCCAAGAGCTAAAAGACCCATAAATTTGAAAACAAATGAGTTACTGTGCAATCTATGATTATATGTGATAATAAAATTAAAACCATTGGACACTGGACTACTAGTAAAGAACTAATCATGTCTAGATCTTCTCGGTGGCCTAGGCTAGTCAACAGCTCGCAAGCAAAGCAGGCAGCCAGCAAGGGCGCTTGCCGGCGGGCCCTGCAGGTGGCTTTGGCGTCCACCGAGCCAGCAGCCAAGAAGGGCCCAAATTAAAGGGCGCCAGCCGATTGGCCGGTGCCACCACGGCAGGGCTCCGCGATCGGCGGGATGCAGCTAGGGCGTCGAGCTGCGGCATCGGGCATTGCCGGACTTGCCGCGTCGACGTCGAGGGATTGGGGATCGAGACTTCCTGATGCGATGGATTCTTGCTTTGCTTGCTGGGCTAGAGTGATGGGCTCTCTCCTATTGGGCCTTTGGCCTACGCTCGCGTCGCATCCCTCTCCCAAAGTTGTGTTCCACACACGCCACTGGCCGGACGCAGCCCGCAACAACAACGCTCGACGCATGATGGCCTGAGGACTGAGGAAG